GTTTGCCTTCCAAACAGCATGTTTACATTCATTTTACATAAGATTTATGTTAATTTTCCCCTGGCATTCCTGCGTATTAAAAAGAGTCATTCAGTACCATTGAAGAGAATTGATATACTAATTCTCCTATTATTTTACGCTCTTCAGAACTCTTGGGTGGTTGGACGAGTACACGAGTACTCATCCTCATCAGTACTCAAGAGTACTAAAGGGACCTACTAATTCCTCCTCCCATACCGGAACCTCGGGAGAAGGAGTAGGAGTGCAGAGGAGCTCTCTTTCTTTTAGGATAGAGAAAATGTAGTACTTATGTTAAATGTAGTCAGCCAAGGTTTCATATGGATGGTGTGGCGTTAATTTTGCATAATCAGAACCTCTTTAAATATGCATGAATGCCAGGGGAAAATTAACATAAATATTACGTAAAATGAATGTAAACATGGTGGTTGGAATGCAAACGGGAATGTCATTTTTACGTAAAATTGACGTGAATTTTATATTACCGTTTACGTATCACAGAGGTGACATTTCTGCAAATATGTTGACATTTTCTTGACAATGGTTTGCGTAAAAATGATATAAAATAGACAAAAAACTTATATTCATTTTACGTAACATTAACATAAACATGCTGTTTGGCCATGTACTTCACGTCAAATGGAGTGACGTCTAGTTTATGCAAAATACACGTACCATTTGGTGACGTAAATATTGGAACGTAAATTTTGCGTAAACATGATATCATTTTCGTTGCAATCGGAAGAAATTTACATTGTTTGCAAGGAATTGATATCTTGTTTACATAAACATGCTGCTTGGGATATTGAAGTAGTATTAACATGAAAGAGTAGAAAAAATTTGTGGTTATCCTCAGGAAAGAGAGAGGCGAGCGACATAACTCCCTTGTTTTTTGGGAGTAAAATCACAAACTCCATTTTCGCTCCATTTCTCGGATATCGCTCACTCTTTTCTAAGAGTGAAAGAGGCTGGTTCTCGACCATGACAGACATGAGACATGAAAACGAAAGTCTTAGACATGGCTGCCAAAATCTGAAGCATGGCTACGAATACTTGAGACCTGGCAATGACGACCCGAGACAGGACAACGAGTCAAGAGTCAAGAGTCAAGAGAGTTAGTGATATCAAGAGGCGATTTCGCCCATTTCGATATCACGTGTCGAGGTCGAGCGTTCCTTAATTTTAGGGTAGGCCTAACCCTCTTAAAGCTAAATATTTTTGTATTTTTGTTTTTTTTTTTGTTTTGTTTTGCTTTGTTTTGTTTGGTTTTGTTTTGTTTTGTTTTGTTTTGCTTTGTTTTGTTTGGTTTTGTTTTGTTTTGTTTTTTTNTTGCCAGTTTGGTGGGACTCAACAATGAACCCACTTAGGTCATTCTAGGTCATTTCAAAAGCATGAGAAATTTAATTAGGCCTACATAAAGAGTTACTCCACTCTGCTACACCCTGTCCTCAGAGAGCAAGAGTCATGACTAGGCTCAGGATGCTAAAGGTCTTGACATTGCCAAGATTCCAGTCACTACCTTAAAAAAAATTTCCTCTTCAATTTTCCCCTTATTCTATATAACCATTGTATCCTAATTGAAAGGAAACCTCATGAAACCTCTAACATTGAGATTATTAGCCTGATTGCAATAAAAAAATTTCTAACCACATGGAAAATTCACCAAGCATATGAAACCAAAGCTAAGTTATGACAGGTGAAGACAGTGAAACTTAAGAATATTTATCGAATTTAGGCCTAACACTAACAAGTACTTCACACTTTAGACTTAGTTTATTTCAAATTTCACTTCTTAGTATCAATAGCCTTATTTGACTCTGCGGTTCTAGAATTGTTCATTCACCCCTCAATATCTTACTGACTGATATCCGAAACGGTCAGATGTGTTGAAATCGGATCAATGCCTAGCCTGGCATTTATTATTTACCTTTGTGCTAACGCTAAATTATTCCAACGGAAAGGACTGTAGCTTGAGCTACGTCCTAAAGTAACGTAGCCGAAACATGAGCTATTAGGCCAAGGTTGATGCGAGAAACTGCCAGACCGAGAACTAGGTCTACAAATGGAGACCTAGGCCAATATTATTAAATGGAATTGCGAATGGAAACTTCTTATTAAGCTATTTTCATATCTTAGAGCAGCTCACAAGTATCTTACCACTGAGCGAGTCCTGCATCCGTCTGAAAGCAAGGCTTCCAAACCGGATATGCCGCCTTGCAAGAAGAGCACTTTCGAGTTCAGAGTACCATGGCCGCCTGTAACTACGTTCAACTGTTATCCGCAGTTCATAATGCGTGTCATTTTTTAGTGAGCATTTTACCATTTCAGCTTCAGCTGATGAAAATTACACGAATAGGAGTTTGTCAGAGAATTTTTCANACTTTCGAGTTCAGAGTACCATGGCCGCCTGTAACTACGTTCAACTGTTATCCGCAGTTCATAATGCGTGTCATTTTTTAGTGAGCATTTTACCATTTCAGCTTCAGCTGATGAAAATTACACGAATAGGAGTTTGTCAGAGAATTTTTCATTCACAGTGACCTCATAATTTGTCTCACAAAATCTCACGATGGACCTTCCCGTTCCCGGATTGACATTCCCGTTTGCATTCCAAACAGCATGTTTACATTCATTTTACGTAATATTTATGCTAATTTTCCCCTGGCATTCATGCGTATTTAAAGGGTCAATCAGTACCATTGAAGGGAATTAGTTTACTAAATCTTCTATTCCTTAACGTTCTTCAGGACTCTAGGGTGGTTGAACGAGTACACGAGTACTCATCCTCACCAGCACTCAAGAGTAACAAAGTGACCTACTGCTTTCTCCTCCCGTATCGGAACCTCGGGAGGAGAAATAGATGTTCAAAGGAGCTCTCTCTTCCTATTAGGATAGAGAAGATATAGTATTTGTAGGGCCGGGATTCTACTCTTCCCTAATCCTGTGCACTGCTGTAATGAAAAGCTAGACTTCAGCATTTAATGAATCCCTGAGTCATATATTGTGAAAAAATATATAATAATTTCATGTTTTCCATATATATATTCATGGGTTGCATAATAAAAGGTAGAAGGATGGCAGGAAAACCTAATACTATATCAGAAAAACCAGTACTTAATAGTAATTGTGGGATGCAGGGAACAAGGGTTCCATCTAGTGAGGAACTGTGGATGTGATGTCAATTTTATGGTGATAATTACAAGGTCCTCGTATCAATAACTTGTCAAAAGTGTATGTCCTCATGAGCGTCAATATATACATTAAATGTAACATCAAGTTGATGTGACTTACTTACATGTGAAGTTTTTTACGAAAATAGCAACATCAATAGTCATGTCAAACTTTTCAACATGCATGAAATACTCATCATATTGACGTAGTATTAACATGGAAGAGTCAATTAGTGTGCTACCTGGGTTATATCTCTCCCTTAGTTTATGCTCATTTCACCTGGGCTGGTGTCTGGTGTGGGATGTTCTTCAAGACCGCGGGCTGGATTAGCCGTCCGGCGGAGAAAGACGTGAGTTCGAGTGCAGTACACCAAGTGAACAAGAATTGCTTGCCAAGTAGAAGGACAGGGGATGAACTGGATGCTTCAATTTAATGACAGGCTAAAAGAAATACAATAACGGTCCTCCCAAAGGAGGTCACCGGATGTTGGCAGTAGGAACGAAATGTCTGAGATTAGCGTCGGAGAAGAGGTGACGGCAGGGAGACGCCACACAAACTTGGGAAAGAAGGCGGAGAGCCTCCAAGTCTAGAGAGAAGAAAAGGGGCACACTTCTCCGCCTCCAGGTCAAGGTTAGAGAAGGGCGATAGTGAATACTACTTGTAAGTGTTGCCAGGAATGCTTGCGAGCGTCTCCACGAATGGCCCGAGAATGCTCACCAGAGAACGGGAATGTCCGGGAATGCTCGAGATGGAGAAAGTCTCCATTTCTTAAAGGGAGAAACCCGGGTTAGACTGGGTCTGAAGAAGTAGTTCTCCTGCCCAAGGTGAAGGGAACCTTGTAAGTGCTCCTGAGCGAAAGGGGCGAGAGGAGTCAAAGGGGCCCCACGAGTACATGACACTTATAGCATGCAATTTTTACGCAGCTTGCTAATTCAGCTCCAAGATTGACCGTTGCGTGAAATTACCCCCTGTGTCATCACAGGCAGAGTTATGTTAGTCACAGCATCCATGTTGATTCAACGTAGGCTTTTACATCCAGAGGTATTTTGCACACGTGACCTTTATTGCACATTGGTAGGACATGACTTGGAGAAGGTACAGGGCAAATGAGGTTGCACGAAAAATACCAGATTCCGAGCGTTCACAAGGCACATTTGATGTGGGAACCGACTCGTCCTTTTATGGTTATGTTACAAGCTTCATGCAACTCGGCTGGCAGAAATGTGTATTGCTTATGTGCGCTAAATTGCATAATAACAAGTGCACAATAGAATCCCTACAAAGCAATCTCATTCATGAGGAGGGAGGAAACCTGGCCGAGAAAAGTTAAGCTGATATTCATGCACTCTGTTTCCGATTGTTATCTTAGTTGCAATATAATCACCCAGGTATGATATTGATTTTCCGACGATTCTCCAGTCGGAGAACACCGGCGAAACTTGAAGAGCCTTCCGGTTCGAGGCATTCAAACATCATGCAATCGGAACTAAATAGCCTGCAACTTCGAAAATGCATTCCATTTTTCTGATCAAGGGAATTTCATGGTTCCTAGAATATATTATTATTGGCGAACTACTAACGTTCTTTCATGACAAGAGAGTCCGTGGGTCACGCGAGAGAGCAGAAGGAAGTCAAACCCGATACTATTACTGAGAATCGATGTGGCCTCGAACTATAAATAATATTGTCGTGAATCGATGTGGCCACGCGACGCAGTTCTTCACGAAATGCCTACGGTTGGGACAAGCGCAGTCGATCCAGAAGGAAACGGAGACGCGCAATAATCGCATTGCAACGCCAACGCCGTCATCGTATATGCCTTGTTGACCTGATAGAGCATCGCAAGGGAGGTTAGCGCACCGTCGCATCAGCTGGGAGATGGTGTGGGTGAAGACGTTCTGTGGATGCGTTTCCACCAGGAAAGGGTCCATCGTGATTGCGACCATTGCCCTCGTGAGCTGCCGGTTCCTTCAATGTGAAATTCCCTTTTCATATGATTTTTCACATATTTTTCTCATTCTTCTGTGCTCCTGTCAGGCACTGGCGATCCCGTCGTTGCTTCTTCTCGGTATAGACCTTCGTAGTTACCTTGCTTATGCACATAGCAATGGCTTCGATGGTTCTCAACTTCGGTGAGCCTGGTCTTCTTTTTTGCATTCTGAAAGCCTGCGCTGAGGTTGGTGGAATGCAATCTGTTCTTGTTACTTGCGATTTCCAGGACCTACAAAGCGATCATGATCACAGCGATTTCTCTCTTGGCCACCTATGCTATCAGCTCTTTCATTCTCATGATTGCCGCGGAAAAGGTGAGTCGGTGCAGTAACAACAGTAAAAAGTATTTCATTAACATTTAAACGGAGAAAATCGCCAATCCGTTTCAGAACTTGAGAACGATGCACCTGCCATGGCTCCTTCTTCACCCTTTGATCACCGGCGTTGTCATGGCCCTGCTGACTTATGTTGCGTGGCTCATCGGATATGATTACTCCATGTCAGCGGCGAGAAGGATCTATACAGTTCTCCTGGTCTTCAGTATCTTCATTTCCTTCTGTGAGTTTGATGCAATCTCTGATTTCAAAACTTGAGCATAAAAATATATTTATATCAAGTATTAGTAATAATGATATTTGATTGTTTATAATGTACAAATTAAATTTCAATCCATTAACGTGTAGAAACATCACGTGAAAAGAGCACTAATGTTTATTTTTGTTTCTGTACCTTTTTAAAATTTGGTTTAATAATTTTGATATGTAATTGTTTCCTTAATGCAATGGTGGAATTATACAGTGCTATATCTAGCATGATTGGAATCAAATTTCAGGGTTTAAAAACACAATTTTATCGTCATTCACGGACTATAAAAATCATTGCAGATTCCTTATGACGTTCTGTAATGCGTTTGCTCTACTGTCAAATGAAACCTGCCCAAAGCGAATGATGAAGTTAAAACTTAAAAAAAAAAAACAGACGACAAAGCCGTTTCTTATTTCTGAAACTTCACAATTGGTTACAGGGATCATGATTTACCTCTGGGTGGTCGTGATGAGCAACTACCAGAGGCTGGAAAGCGTGCCCGACAGTTATGCAACCCCCCTCATCCAGACCGATGAATGGCACCACCTCGGGGATGGCTGGCAGAGGAGACAAGATCAGTACCGCTATGACGATGGCAATGGATCCCGCTTCGGGGTGAGGAGGCCGAGGAGAAAAAGTTCGGAGGTTGGGCCCTTTCCGAGGGACGTGTCGCCGCCTGGGCCTGCTACTTATGTAATCTCCAAGGCTGCCTAGAGTTCTGTTCCTCCTTGTTTTTGTGTCCTTGTCGGGTGGACGTCTTCCTTTTGGGATCGTTCGAGAGCTAGCTCATTATTTCCATGTGTTCTTTTAAGGCAGCTTCGTTGGGGGAATATTTGTCCGTTATGTGGTGGTATCAAATAAATTCATGTGCGTGGATTATTTGTAAATGGTGTATCATGGACAGTAAACTGTTGCAAGATGATCAAATCCGAGGAAAAAAATAACGCATCGCTTCTAATTCATACGACAATAATGGACGGGAGGCGGGAAGGACCGAATTATGCTGTGTTCCCGTATAACTGCTTCCCATGGGAACATTTTTCCTTCTTATTTCGAAATATTTTATTAGTGTTGGGTGCCTGGAATAGTCATTTCTTAAGAGTCATTTCTTAATTCTTTAACTGTACTCCCTGAATGGTGTTATCACTATTGCTGTACTATCGCATCGTATCACACTGGTGGCTGCCAATGCAGTCGTCTGAATTTTTTTTTTACGATCTTATTTTGATTGAAACAAGACCATTCGACTAACTCTACTGTAAACTCAATCCCGCTTTCGCTGATCGATGAACTTGTGGGCAATTTTCGGCTTGATTTCTGGTCACCATTTCTGTTGATGAAGAGATTCCGACAATATTCTGAATGATCAAGGAAGACATTAATATGTATTCCCTATGAGATCATATGTCATAAATAATTCAAGCCTGGCTGTATCTGAAATCGACCGGACCTGCGCAATTCCCGGATTGCAACAGAGACGAGACCGTCGCAGGTACGCACTCGTCTCGATGCAGGGTGCGGCAGCATGAGCATTTTCACCGAGTTTCCGAGAATGGCGCGATATCTGCGGGCATCTCGGGGCAGCGTTTTCGCTCAGAAGGCGCCGGCGATCATCGCATTCATCTCCCTTGTGAGTGTTTGTAGGACGAGGTTCTCCTATATGCTACTTTGGCTTAATTTCGTTTCGAGAAGAGAATATTTGCATGCAATTAAATCTCTCTAGGTTGGCGCGGTCATAGGCATGACACTCCTCAGCACAGAGATCCGCCGGATTGCGAAGCCGGTCGCAGACGGAACGACGAGAGAGAACGCTGGAAGTGGACCAGTGAGTCCGCAGCGAGGAACCGGGTTCACGAGTGAGCGAGGAATGAGTTCATCGGGAGGCATGGAATTCATCATGAGCAAGTGAGCTCACTTGTCAGTTTCTTGAGTTCCCAGTCCCTGAGTCGATTTCTGGTGCAGTGGGTTCTTTCCTGGAAGTGCCTTGAGAGTTCACAAATAGTTTCGCCTGGTTTCGTGACCTCATCCGGCGTGGATAATAATTTAATTTTTTTTAATTATCATAACAGGATATACAAGGGGATCATCATTACAACCTTGGTGTTGACGATCCTTCATGCTCTCAGTTCCTTCGTCCTCATTCTTGCTGCTGAAATCGTGAGTCTACGGAATTTCAAAGACCTTTAAAACAAAAAGAAGAAAAGCAATTTAACGAAAAAGGAATCCTTGATGAAACAGAACCTGAGGTGTTTGTACTGGCCGTGGCTGGTCCTGCATCCTCTGCTCATGATGGCGCTGATGGTCCTTTTGGGATACTCGTATTACGCTGCTCCTTTCGATGGCTACCCTCTTGTTTTCGTCATTGTCATTTTCACTCTCTTCTGTGAGTTCGAACACCTGCTTTTATGCACTGACTTAACTTCGATTGTCTGTGTTGATAGAGGTACCAGGATAATCGGAAACACGGTTAACCTGAACCATTTTTATTGACTGAATGATGTTTGTCCAGACATTGATGCTTTGACTTGTCATAACTTATCTAGATCTCGTGGTGGTGAAAAATTACGTGAGGCTGGGAAGGACCAAAACGGACGACGCCGAATCCTTGCTCGAAGACACGGAGCGCCCTCGCAGGCACCATCAGCGGATGAGAACGGCGAGAGGCAAGAGGCCCTGGGATGCGATGCTTCCTGCGGGGAGATCCTCCACGCCCCCGCCCGAATACTCGGACTGATGACGGTTGATGTGAATGGGCACGGAGGCAATTGGCATGGATCACTTCAATAGCGTACGCTGTTCTCGCATCATGTGAATAACTACACGAGACGTACATTCACAACTTTCACAAGACAATGCACTTTCTGTCATGTTTTTGAGTGTTTCTGAAGTACGTTTCTTCCCTCTATGGAAAATAAGTTTAAGGTTTGGTATTAAAAAAATTTCATTCTATGAGAAAACGGCATTCTCAGCACAATCCAAGTTCTTCATTTCCTCCAAATAAACTTTACATTGGTTTTATTCGCCCAGATTCAATCGAGAAACACAAAAAACTATTTATTTTTAGGGAGCTTGCTTGCCTTACGTGCAAGCAGACTCGCAAGACTTGCGTCTTCGGTGTTTGATGATATAAGTACAGTACATTATGCTGTATTAACCAGATGGATATTCACTTCAAGTAAATTTGCGCCTTTCGCTCTCTCTGCTTTTATGTGAAGTGGTCTTCATGCATTTCATAAAGTTGTCATCGTGACGCCACATTACACTGAGTTACGTGACGTAACTTAAAAACGTCGGGTTAACGGCACTAAATTATTACTTCTTAAAAATATATCAATGTGTCAAATAGGTTGAGAGAAGTTCATTTCAAATCAGTCATAATGGCATGGCTGCATCAGAGTGATTTTAATTAATGCTGACTCGTTCTCTGGAATCCAATTATGACATGATCTCATCAATGCTACTGGTCACTTTGTGCTTAATTGGGGAGTGTGAATAAAACCGGTTTTGGAATGATTTAAAGATATTGCACCCACAGATATACAGTTCACGAGATTCTTGAATTGGGGTCCACCCACATGTAGTCAGTAGGTAAATGACCGCAATAGACAATGGTATAAACGACAAATATTATTGCAAATAGTGATACCATGGTAAGGAGTAGCGATAATGCGTTAACAAATAGAGGTAATTTGATAAATATTAATGATAACTGGGTGACACATAGTGAGAATGTGGTGACAGATTTGGCAGGAAGACCTGAATCAATAGAAACTAATCGAAAATATCGAAAAGAAACGAATCCTTCCTTTCCGTACAGTGGTTCGTGCAGTGATCGCGGCGAACTTCCTCACGTTCGACTGGTTCCCGTTCGCGGTGGACAGGAAAAGGAGGACAGGCTGGTGGCTGCATCTGGGGCGGCGTGTCCGGCTGGTTCCGCTGGTGGACTCTTCTGGAAGGACCCTGCATTGATTAAAATTGGGAATTAAACTATTGGTCGAGGGGATGTTGATGAAGAAAGGATGTGAACTGTATTTTGGAATTTTTTATTTCTGCTTGGCAGAAGATAAATTTGAGGGTTTCGTCCTGTCATTCATATATGCTGAATCAATATATATATATATTTGCGATTTCTTGAGGAAGAGGACATTATTGAAATATATGGCATCAGGAAGATTCCTCATGCAAAAATCTAATGTAAGTATGATACAGATTTTCCGACTGCCTCTCAGTCGGAGAATAATGGGCTTAACTTGAAGACGAGCCGTTAGGTTTGAATAATTGAATCGTCAGGAATGAACGAAATAGTATGGAACTTCACAAGTGATTTTTTTTCATTCCTGGGAATGGGAATTGCATTGTTCCCATGATTTTTTTTTAAGAATCCGTGAGCTGCAGATGTTCATCTGATAACAAGGGAGAGTCGCCTTGGTGCCTGAAAGACCAGGAAGAGGCCTAACTGGGTACAATTACAGCGAATCGATGTGGCCTGGTACTATAAATAATATAAATTAGTCGATTTGGCCACACGACGCAGTTTTCCGCGAAACGTATATAACTGCGAAGCAGACCAGCGCAGTCGATGGAGCACGGATCGACGAAACGCAATAATCGCATTGCCACCCCATTGCCTTCATCGGGAGTACCTGGTTAATCTGATCGAGCATCGCCCGGGAGGTTAGGGCACCCCCCATCTGCAAGGAGATGGTGTGGGTTTACACGTTCTACGGATTGGCTTCCACCAGGAAGGGGTCCGTCGTGATCGCTACCCTTGCCCTCGTGAGTCGCTGGTTCCTTCAAAGTAAAATCTCCTATTTGTCAGATTGTTCACTGGTGTGTGCTCCTTGCAGACACTGGCGATCCCATCATTAATTCTCATCGGTCTGGATCTTCGCAGTTTCCTTGCTTATGCACAGAACAATGCCATGTTCAATGAATCTCAACTCCGGTGAGTCTCTATGAAGCTTTGAGGGCCTGCGCCAGAGGTAGGTGAAAAGCAATATGATAGTGAAATTTTATATTTGCAGGACCTACAAGGCGATCATGATCACAGCTATTCTTCTCTTGGCCTCCTATGCTATCAGCTCTTTCATCCTCATGGTTGCAGCGGAAAAGGTGAGTCGGTGGCGAAAATACCATTCCAGCACACTTTACATGGGGAAACCGCCTATACGTTGCAGAACTTGAAGACGATGCACTTGCCTTGGCTTATTCTTCACCCCTTGGTCACCGTCAGTCTCCTGGCCCTACTGATTTACGTCGCATGGCTCATTGGATACGATTACAACATGAATGCGGTGGGGCGAATTAATACACTTCTCCTGATCTTCAGCATCTTCATTTCCTTTTGTGAGTATGATGCAAGATGTAGAAAAAAAATCACAATATGGAAAGTGAGGAGAAATGCTCTCAATTTTATTTCCCATTAAATGCAAAATACATTTTCCATGTTTAACATGAAGAAGCCTTGTTTAATAATAGCATTGATGTGTGTTTTCTTATATTTAATTTGTTTATTCACCTTGAAACTTTTTCAAAGGTCTTCTTGCCACCTTGATGAGAGGCTGGTATTATAGAGTGCTGTATATAGCATGATTGGAATCGGATTTCCATATTGAGATATCGATATTTTCGTGATTAACAGATCATAAAACTAAACACACAGTTATTACGTAGTTAGCCCACCACACTCGCCCTATTGCCGAGAGAGTCCAACACGAAGCGAAAAATAATGCAAACTTAATACGGAAAAAAGTATGTTTCCTTCCTCCTGTAACTTTGCTAATTGTTTCAGGGATTTTGACTTGCCTCTGGGTGGTCGTGGTTAGCAACTACCAGAGGCTGGCAACCGCGACCGATGGCTATGCTGCCCCCCTTAACCAGACCGACGAATGGCACCAACTTGAAGAGGGGTTGCGGAAGGGAAACGATCAATATCATCATGACAATGTTGATGGATATCGCTTCGGGGTGAGGAGGCCGAGGAGGAAGAGTTCGGTTGTTGTGCCGTATCCGAGGGATTTGTCGCCGCCAAGGCCAGCTACTTACATCATCCCACAGGCTGCATAAACCTCCATTTCTCTTCGTTGTGCTGTCTCCGTTGGGTGGAGGAATTCCTTCGGGATCATTGAACAGAATGCTTAGCATTTCCATGCGTTGTTCTAAGATGGCTTCGTTGGGGTGTTTCTCATCCTTTGTGAGGGGGTTCCGAATAAATTTCTATGCTGGAGTCTTTGAATTACACGGAAGAGCAAAAAGAGGCCAGGCTTGATGCAATCATGAAGAATCGATGTGGCCTGGTACTATAAATAATGTGCTCGTGAATCGATGTTGCACACGGCGCAGTTCTACCCAGAATGTACACAGCTGGGAAGTAGATCAACTCAGTTGGTCGAGCACGGAGCGAATAAACGCAATATTCGTATTGCAACACCATAGGAATCATCAGGAGGATTTGTTGACCTGAAGGAGCATTCGCAAGGGAGGTTAGTGCAGTATCAGTCGTGTGATGGTGTGGGTGAACACGTTCTGCGGATGTGTTTCCACCAGGAAAGGGTCCATTCTGATTGGGACGTTTGCCCTAGTGAGTCTCCGGGTCCTTCCAAGGAAGATTCTATATTCAAGGCTTTTTTTGTGAAATGTTCACCCATTTCGTGGGTGAACACTCATTTTGTGGTGTTTCTTTCAGACACTGGCGATTCCATTGTTGATTCTCCTCGGTCTGGACCTTCGTAGTTTCCTTGCTTATGCACATAACAATGGCTTCAATGTCTCTCAACTCAGGTGAGCCTGCTTTTTTTTTGCATTCTGAGGGTCTGCATGGAGGTTGGTGAAAAGCAACGTGTTCGCGAAATTTGCGATTTTCAGGACCTACAAGGCGATCACGATCACAGCGATTTCTCTATTGACCTCATATGCTGTCAGATCTTTCATTCTCATGATTGCCGCGGAAAAGGTGAGTCAGCTCCGAAGAAAAGGATTCCAGCTCACTTTACGGGGAGGAAATTGTCGATCTGTCGCAGAACTTGAGGATGATGCACTTGCCATGGCTGCTTCTTCATCCATTGGTCACCGTCGGTTTCATGACCCTCTGGTTTATGTTGCATGGCTCATCGGATATGATTACAACATTTCAGTGCTGAGGCGGATCTGCAATATTCTTATGGTCTTCTGTATATTCATTTCTTTCTGTAAGTATTTTCCATGCACTGATGAAGTGAAGAATAACAAGTGTGAGTAAAAATGCCTAATATATCGCGAATGAAAGGAAAGTGAAATTTAAAATGTATCAACATAAATAATTATTCCTTAGTAATATTTAGTCAATATTTTCATTACTGCAGATTAGTGATTCGACCCGAACGGTTTCGATATTGTATGATCACCTTCACAAGACGTTGGAATTATATGGTACCCCACGTAATATATCTATCATGATTGGAATACAATTTATTGGATGAAAGTTGAATATTTTCGTGATTCCCGGATGATAAAACTCATCATATATGCCTTAGGAATATCTGATGAGGTGTATAATTGGTATTTTATCTTCTATATTTCCTCTATTGCCAAATAAATCCATCCCGCAGCAAACATGAATGTCAAGACGAAAAAAACGGAACTGGCGTTTACTTTCTCCTGAAACTTTCTCTATTGGTTTCAGGGATCATGACTTACATCTGGGTAGCGGTGATGAGCAACTACCAGGGGCTGGGAAGCGCGCATGATGACTATACTGCCCCACCCTTATCCAGAATGATGAATGGCACAGCCTCGAGGATGGGTGGCAGAAGGAACATAATTGACACCGTCATGATGATGGTGATGGAAACCACTTCGGAGTGAGCAGCCCGAGTAGGAAGAGTTCAGTGGTTGTGGCAAATCCGATGGACATCTCACAGTCCAGGTCCGATCCATATGTCATCTCCTAGGCGGCCTAGACCTCCATTTCTCTTTGTTTTCGTGTCTCGGTTGGGTGGATGTTTTCCTTGGAGATAATTGAACAGCACGATCAGCATTTTCAAGTGTTCTTTTAGGACAGCTTTGTTGGGGGATTAATTTTCCTTTGTGTGGGGGTTTCCGATAAATTCCTTTGCTTGGAATATTTGAAAATGGTGAGTCACAAGCATTAAACTGCTACAAAACGACCAGTTCCAAGAACATAATGCATCGTTTCTGCTCCATATCACATTTTATATGCGATCATAACTATTATATATACAAACCTATAGAGTCCCCTTTAGAACCGATAGGGTTCCCTATAGAACCAATAGGGTTTCCCATAAGGCCTATAGGTTCCCTGTAGGACCCAAATGGTTCCGTATAGGACCCGTAGGGTTCCCTATAGGACCTATAGGATTCTATATAGGACTTATAGAGTTCCCTATAGGGCTTATATGGAACCCAATAGGCCAATAGGGTTCCGTTTGAAGTTCACCTCTAGGCCACTAGATGGAAGTATTGGGTTCTCGCATTCTTCAAAGGACACAAAAGTGCCCTCCCCTTACCCATGGAATCATCTCTCACAAGAGAGTTTTGTACATCCCCAAATGCCTCGCCTTGCCTCATTGTAGCAATAAACTTCGACACTTTCTTATTTGTCATCCCCATCTTCCAGATAGAATCATGGAGTCCAGGCAAGAAATATGCCCTTATTCCCTTTGAAGAGCACCTACGAGAATAAGTAGACTCTATCCGAAAGGAGTTTCAGTAAAGAGACGTGCTTGCAGGTTCTGTCTTCTGTTTCTTTAGGTCGACAGAAGAGGAATACTTCCCGTTACTAAGGTAAGGGGACTCGCAATTCAGAGACATATGAGGGTCGGGGCAACAAATTATGCAGATTTGCCTATTACTGGTATTAGTAATGCATGTGCCACTACCATCAGAAAACATCTAATCTGTAATTGATTTGTAGCAAAATGCTGCGCCAATATTGACCCTTGTCGTCTTTTTCGTCGTAATGCCTGGGTTTCGAAACCAAGAAATTCTCCAGGAATCCTATAGGTCAGGAGTCCTATAAGACCCTATAGGGATTTTATAGGATCCTCTCGGTTTTTCGTGTTTCAAAAACCTACAGGAAAGTCTTTAGGTTTCCCATCTAATGTATACCGACGATCGTGACTGACCGACTGACGCTAATTCTAACCATGTTCTAAAGAAGTTAGAAATTTGAAACTTGGTACACATGTACCTTTCGGGATAAGCAATAAACTTCGACACTTTCTTATTTGTCATCCCCATCTTCCAGATAGAATCATTGAGTCCCGTGAAGAATTATGCCCTTATTACTTTTGAAAACCACGTATGAAAATGAGCGGACTCTATCCAAATGGAGTTTCAGTAAAGACACGTGCTCGCAGGTTCTGTCTTATATTTCCTTCGGTCGAGAGAAGAATACTACTTCTCTCTACAGAAGGAAGTATACATGCAATCCAGCGACATATGTTGGGCGGGGTCATGAATTATGCAGACCCTTGCAGTACTGGTATTAGTAATGCATGTCCCCCCTACCATGGAAAAACCCCTAATCGGTTTTTGATTTACACCGAAATGCTGTGGCATTATTAACCCCGGTCGCCTTTTCCGTCGTAATGCCTGGATTTCGAAACCCAAAATATCCTCCCCGAGTCCTATAGGTCAGGAGACCTATAACCTTCTCGGATTTCTTTCAGCCTCTTTTGCCTTAATCCCGCTACTCACTGCCCCTCCATTAAATTATTCTTGCTTGAGTAAAATGGAGAGATATGAAAAGCTGAAACTTGGCATGGATATGCCTACTGAGACGATGAGTTCAGGAAAAATGTAAAATTTTAGATCCATGCCCTGTGAGGGCACATTTTTTGGGGCTGATGTTTTCAAGTAATTTTTTTTGTCCTGGCGAATTGAGATGGTGTGGAAAGATGAAACCTGGTACATACCTACCTATTGGGTTTGCTGTGTGCAGAAAAATTCACACTTTGGAAGTAAATGCCCAGGTGGCACAAATTTCAAAGGGAGATATTTTCAAATAAATGTTTGCATCAGTTAAACCAATGAATATGGAAAACTGAAACTTTGCATGAATATGACAACTGAGACAAGGAGTTAAAGAAAATGTTAAGTCTTGACACATCCCCTGGGGGGAACTTTTTTTGGGGGGGGAGATGTTTAAGAAATAAATTTTTTGTCGTGGCGAATTGGACATTATTGGAAAGGTGATACTTGGCACACGTATAAGTGACATGGTATTATTGAGTTGAGGGAGTATTCACCTTTCATGGTGCATCCCCTCCGGGCATAGCGTTAGAGTGGGTTGGCTTTTCCAAACACGTTTATTCACCAGCGAAAAGAGCAAACGTTTAAGGTTGAAACTTTGTGGGCATGTAGTTCTCTGAGGATTGATTTCGGTAAAAAAAAAGGTACTTCTCGGTTAAAACGCCCCAGGGCACATATATTGCAAAATCCGTATTTTCTTGAATTTTCTGATCCAGCAAAGCAGATGGCGAAAGAAAGTTTAAACTTGGCAAAGAAGAACCTGATGAGGGGTGAGGAAAGAAAAATTATTCTTTTATTATTTATACAGGATAGTGAGTAGCTGACTGACTGACATAAGTAGCTATTCGCATGCTAAGCTTAGGAAAAATTCTATTTTCGTGATACATGCCATAGAGGCACACCTTTTCGGGAAACCTATTTTCAAATAGTTTTCTTTGCTTCAATCAAACGGAGACACATGGAAAGCTGAAACTTTGCAAGAACGTGACTGCTGACGCACTGAGCTCAGGAAAATTTTCAAATTTCCAAAATATTTTGGCGGGGAGATATTTCTTGGGGGCGTTAGGTTTTCAAAGAATTTTTCATATCCTACCGAATCGGGCAGAAGTAGAAAAGTAGCAGATGGGGCACGCATAACGGACGTGATGTTGATTTAAAGAAAAATTCACCTTTTTTTGCGCGTCTCCTCAGAGCACAGCTTTTGGGTGGGTCGCTTTTCCAAATACATTTCCCTACCTTCAGCAAAATGGGGAAACGTATCAGGCTGAAACTGGATGGCATGGAGTTCCCTTAGTCTACATTTCAGAATTAAAAAATTCCTTCACTAAAGCCCATCAGGGCACATTTTTTCAGTCCCATTTTCCTGAATTTTTTTGATGCAACAAATCAGAGACAGAAAATTTAAACTTCCCTCAGAAGTACCTATTTTATGACTGAGTACAGGAAAAATCCTACTTTTGAAATATATCCCTTAGCGTAGATTATAGGAGGCAAGTATTTCAAAATGTATTCTCCACCCTTACAAAAAGGGACACATGAAAAGATTCAAGTTAGGCACACTAGAAATAATAGAAGTAATGATTTTGATTTTAAAATAATCGCGACTTTCGCCCCATATGTCACGTATTTCAATTGGGACGTACTTTTATATATGTGTTTACCATTCCGCAAATAAAAGATGAATTAACCACTATCCAAAGTAATGGAGCCCCGAAGGCGCGACCATAGCGAGTTCAAACAAACTCGCTAGTAAGAAATAAACATGAGTTTTCTTTGGGACATTTCCGTAAGGGGGAACACGTGTTTTACTGGATTTTTAAAATGAAAAATTCCATGCAAATGTTATGCCACCATCCTTTCTCCCCCGACCTTCCCCCATGCGACTTTTGGCTTTTTTCGGAACTTAAAAAAAAACTTGGGGGGGGGGGGTTACTTCTTTCCCTTCGAGACCGGCACTCGATTCAGCAGTTTTCCAGTGGTTTCCGAAATACACCCAAACACAGTTCGCCCAGTGCTTCCAAAAGTGGGTAGAGCGGTGGCAAGCATGTTTGGACAAAGGGGGAGATTATGCAGAAAAGTAGGATAAGTTTAAAGTGTATATTTGGGTTAATGGTTTTTTTTAATAACAAAACAGCCATTACTTTATGGCAGCACTTCGTGCTTCGATTAAAGCAGTACCACGCAGGATCATGCAGGAAAAATACATAATTTTTTGCTTCTCATATGACGAGATAAGGTTGATTACTGAATTCGTATCGATGCAAGACAGATGTAATGCATGGGCCTCACAATCAGCTGATGATGGTGATGGCAAGAGGGACCTTTCAGAGCTGGAAGCAATTGATTTATTTTCAGTTTGATGTAAAGACTACCAAGGACGTCTCCAATGACATGGTGATGGCTATTGAGACAGCAAACTTCCCTGTCGTTGCAGTTATCAATGACCATGCAGGACAAGACCCCTCTATGGTGTGGTTACGACATATGTCCAACAAGAACATCATTCCAGAACCCATACGATCCGAGTCGCAAAAAATTTATGCTTGGTTGACGCGCCTCATTTGTTGAAGCTCCTGCGGAATCACATCGACCAAGGGTTCGTTCTACCCTTAGGCGATACAGTGGGAAGAGCTATGCTGAAACAACTCCTCTCCTTAGACAGTAATGAACTTAAAATTCGCCACAAAATCATAACTTCTCATCTCATCGTATCTGGCACTGAAAGGCAGAGTTCCGCCACCAACAGAGGTATTTTCTAATACTGTTGCAGAGGATTTGAAGTTTCACTGCCCACTAAGCAAAGCCCGAGCTGGACTACAGAATAAAACACCACACTAGGACGAAAGTAAGACTTTTGCAAAGACATGAGAGCAAATTGGAAGAAATCTCTTCTTCCATGTCAGAAGGAAATATTTGTTTCTAGTGCTTCTCTGAAGAACCTGGCTTCCTACCTTTTCGAGAGGCATTCCCAGTCCTACATTCTGAAATCACGCCTGAATCGAGATTACCTAGAAAACTTTTACAGCTAAATCAGAGTATCAGGCAGGTTTGATACTTGTCCCACACCCATTTCAGCCAAATTCAGAAAAAAA